TAGTAACAATATATATTTCTATTGTTCCAGAAAAAGACCAGAATAAGCACTGCTGATATTTAAAATCCTCACAGCATAAATATGTTTCACTTCAACATATAGTTTTACAGCTGCAGTATGAAATCTATTAGTTCCTCATCAGTTCATGCCCTCCTTACATCTTTGAAAAAGCTATTTAAAATATTAAAGGAGTCATCTATCTTCATTCTACTCTTCAGAGGAAAAGACATATTTTCTATCTGAAAATTTTAATTAATTAAAAATAGTTTACAAAATTTGAGGACAGACCTACTTCACACCAAAGTAGGAAAAAGAGCTAACTAGCAACCAATCGAAGAATTTGGTTCCGTAAGTATGTGCACAGCTGGTTCATCAAGTCTCTGTTCTGTCCTTCAACCCAGTGCATTTCTACTACCACATCATTTCCTTCTTTCTTCACATTCATTAAACACTTGAAGAGAAAACCCCCACTGGTTTCTTTAGGGCTTTGCTCTTTATCCACTGTCAGATTGCTAGCTTCTTCTGAAGGGCAAGGATCCTCCTTTGCATCACCAGAACCTTTCCCAAGCGATGTTTCTCTCTGCTTTTCCTCCATCTCCTCTTCCTTCACAGGATCACTGTGCTCTTCTTTGGCAGCAGATTCCTCTGGTTCACCTGCTGTCATCTGGACATCCTCATCAGGTGCCATAAACCCCATTTCAGAGTCTTCAGCCTTGGGGTTTTCACAGTCCGAGTTGTTGCTCACACTCTTCTGGTTGTTCTTTTCCTCCTCCATTGCTTGCAGAATATCTTCAGAAGCTCGAGGAAGTTCTCGTAATTGCCTTACTCTCTCACGTTTTTTTCTCCTCAAATGAATCCAGGAGTTTTCAATGGCAGTCACAAAGAGGCTGATTTCATCTTTTCCACATGGAACACGTTTATGCTGAACCTATTGCAAGAAAATAGAATTTCATACAATCTTCTCACAGTTACGCTTTCAATTAAGATGCTGTTTTAACATCTAACACTTCATACTGTACCTTCAGATCAGTGAGAATCTTCTCTACCCAGGCTCTAACCACAGCAATAGCTTCTACAGCATCCCAGCCCATAGCTTCAGCTTTGATGGATAACTCTTTGACTGTAGAAGCCAAAACCAGGAATGTAATTGGTTTTCGTGGTTTTTCTAGTTTTCTTCTTTTAGAGGGAGGTGACTAGAAGAAGAAAGAAAGAAAATAATTACAAGGCTATGCAGTACTATAGTAGGATGACTTTTGTCCTCAGAAGACTCTGATTCCATAAGACATGAGGATTAAGAGTGTAACATAAGGCACTAAGCAGTCATTCACATGACCCGTGCTCCACTTCAGCCCCAGGAGTTTTAGACTCAAACCAGCTAACAGGATCATGCACTTTATGCTAGCCTGATGGACAGAGGGACTTTATCTTCAGGTATTAGGCAAAAAGCTTCACTGGCTCCTTCAAACTATGAGCTCTCCATGAGCTGACAAAGTGTGGCTGCTCTAGGGAATAGAGGCCAACTGCCAATATCCACATTTGAACCCAAGTGCACTGAAAATTTACTTGCATCTTCCTTAAGATTGGTTATTGTCTATACCTATATTCAAATATACAAACATCCAGATCCAAAAAAGCAACTGGCTCACATTTAAGGTGAACAAGCTCCACTTACATTCATGTAGGCAAGTCTGAGTTAGACGTGGTCATACCTATTTGGTAACAGAATCCACATGTTAAATTAAAACTGAGTTCTCAGAGGGAAGTTTAAATTCAAATCTAGCCCCAAACTTAGCATATTTTCATTACTACTGAACTGCTATTTGAGGTATGCTACAAATGATCCTTATTTTCACTGAAACCCACAGGAAGTTCCTACAATGGCTTCCCTTTTCCACCTTTGACAAGGGTTACTCATGAATCACAATTGCTAACAGACTGGCAGCCATCTAAGAAATTCCACTGTCCATACAGCCCAGCACATTCAATATTCCAGTCTGAAGAAGAACAGTTTGTATCACAGTAGTTACAGCTCATTAGCCCCTTCCTCAAGTAAGAGGCACAGAAAATCACAAGCAAACCAGAATTAAGCTACTTACAGGTACTTGCACATCATCATAGAAACTCCAGGCCAGCGCCCATCTCATGGTGCG